CACACACACACACACACACACACACACACACACACACACACACACACCCTTTAGTGGCTACATTACAAGCTACATTCCAAGCCCGCCCATATTTCCGCAATCAAATGTGAAGGAATGTATTTAAATCCCCCTTGTAACTGTACACCACTGATATTCTGTTTCACAGGGAAACACACAAAATACAGAAGCTAAAGACATGTCGCAAGTCCTCACACACCGAGATGAAATTGAGGAGAAAATGATAACAGGAATTATGGCCATAACTATCAATATACCAAGGCTGTAATCTTTGTATCTTCAGCTGTGTTGCATTTGCAGCAGGATAACATGAATATAGACACACAGCGCACACTTTTTAAAAACAGAAATGTAACTTCTCACACATAACTGTATATGTTACACTGACGGAGTGCATCAAATGGGAACTAACACATAATGGTCATTATTAACAATAATGTGCTGAAAACAAACTCATTCATGATGAACAGGGTCTAAGCTGTTATTCTAATCACCTCTCAGTGTTAAATGCATGTCGCACTAAAGGCGGTTACTCATTTAGCCTACATAATGTCATGAGACTTTTTGTGAAGAGAAGAGAAAAATTGAAGAAACTTACTTTCCCAAGAGTCCCTTGCCTTTGGGCTGTGCCTTCATCCACTTCCACAGAGGGTGAGCCGTGTCTCCATTCACATCAATCTTATGGAAGAGGTCAAACTCAGCATTGTAACCTTTGGCAAATTCCTTAATCTCTGCATCAGTCCCTGGCTCCTTGATCACACCAAAAAAAAGTCAAGTTAGAACATTTGAAGTTTAAAGTTATGAATATAAATCTGTGTTGTCATCAGTTTAGCCTCGTTACCTGTCCTCCAAACTGGTTGCATGGGAAGCCCATGATGCGTAAACCTTGCTCAGCGTAGGAGGCGTGCATTCCCGCTAGCTGAGTGTAGTTTACCTTGGTCTTTCCTCATTTAGAGGCGACATTTACAATGATGCACACATTCCCTCTGGTCGGGAAAAACAAGAGGTTAAACTGGGAAAACAATTCTGGAGACGACTGCGTATTTGTGAAGTCTAAACACGGCAACTGCAAACAAATATTCCACTCTATACTGCTGTTCTTAATTTAATATAACAGCATTTAATGATACCACAAGGATGCATGGAATTATAATGTATATATGTTTTACCTGTATTTCTCAAGAGACACCTCATTGCCATCAATATCAGTGGCGTTGAACTCGTAGATTGACTTGGCACTCTGCCAGTCCATCGCCTGAGCACACTGCACAGAGAAGGGAACAAAATGAATGGTATGTAGGTGAGAGTGTGGTTGAGTAAGACGGCGGAAGATAAAAGTGTGTCGGCGCTAAAGTCCATGAAGGCAAACCAAAGGGCAAAAAGCTCAGGCCTGAGAAATACACAAGAAGACTTCAAGGAAACAAGCCAAGACAAGTAATTTAGTGTCGTGAATAATGTCCCCACCCTTGTATTGACATTTACAACAGGTTTAACATTAAAACCTGCATGTTAGTAACCTACATGCACGACTATCGTTTACATCTCTGCATTAAGACGTGGAAAATGAAAAGATAACACATAAAATGAGCTTCTCTTGATCTGATGTTAATTTAAATCAACTGACTTGAAGACTAACGAGGATTATAAGCAACTTGAACGGCATCTTTATCTCTTCCCGTTTTCAGAGCTAACGCTGCAGCACAGCCAGCTAGCTATAACAGCCACGCGTTCAGAATTGAAAAAAAAACGAGATATTTGTGTTGAACTGAGACCAGCTGGAGGGGTAAACCGTTAGCTACATCTGTTCGTGAGCCTTAAACTGACATCCAATGTCAGGCTTTACGCCTCGGGATTTTGTCTTTAACGCGAAGCTAGTGTCAGTGGCTTGGTCACCATCGGACGCATATGACCGTTACACCACATTTAAAGATAGAAACGGTTTACCCGACCTACATGTTGTTGTTCGTCATACAGGCAGAAGCAGATAGATTTATTTATTTTACCGCGGCACACATTAAGAGATAGACATATATTATCGTGCTCTACACACTTACCATACTTCTCTGTAGTCCTCTGCTCCCTAACAGACCTAACAACGCTATGGGTCTGCACAGCCTCATTGCAGCGACAGTGATGACCCCTATCACGTGATATGTAACCACGCCCACTGACTGACTTTTATTGACAGCCGACGTGGACAGCTTTTGGGGTTAACTAGTTCGCAAACAGTTGCTTATTTACACATCCAGAAGTTACAGAACAACAATATATTTAATTTCGATTCATGCTTCTGTCCTAATGATTGCAGTTCAACTCTCTTTTAGCTCTGTTGATGGTCTCCTCAACTCCTGAGGAAAATATATGCCCTTTTTTCTCTTAAAAAAAAAAAGATGTTTTAAGCAACAGGACAATGAGAGGACACTGACAGAATGACTTCCTTCTTTCTAGCAGCCTGAGTGTGATGTTCGTGCTCACCCACTCACTGGGGAGCAATCATGTGATATAATTACTTGGGGAATATGATATTTTGCCTAAACATGTTTGTGCAATAGATAAAGGGGCAGCTCCCTTAGAAACTTTAGACAGCAACAGAGAGCGGGCGTGTACACACTCATATGTGACTTATCTGATCTATCATACTCTTCACAAACCATGCAGATAAAAGTGTGTGCCAATGAAGATGTAAGGTTTAAGTGACACTGAGTGTTTTTATTTCCAATAAACACAAATATTTACATCGAATAATGTGGGAAATGTATTCATATTTAAGGTAACCCTAACCAAAAATCCTTGAGATTTGGAGCCCAGAGGAAAGGGAGTGTAGGGCTGACTTAAACAGACCTGGTGGAGGAAGAGAAACTTCAAGGAAGGGACGCACAGTGAGACCGTATTGAACGTGTTTACTCTCTCTATCTACCAGTCTACCAGGAATTGGGTAAATTAAATATATGAAAAATACAGGAAGAGTACTGCCAACATTTGTTGCTGCATACCCTTGTGGGTCAGTGCATTTCTTTATACAATACATAAACAGTTTAGAATAAGTTACTCACCGGGAATACACATGCAAGAATGATGCTTGGTTTTAACTTTTTATATTCATCTTAATTTCTGTCTAAAGGTTGAAAATACTGTAAAGTACTGATGTGTCCAAGTTAGGAAACTATAAATTCACTGTAGTTTTACTGTATCCCAATCCCCATCTGTTTGAAATCATCAAAGCTGTAGTTTTATTCTTTTTCCAACAGAGGGCACTATCTAACTATAGAAAAGATTGACGTCTTTGTGTACAGCATTAAAGTAATTTTGAGATTTTAGAAAGATGCATGATGTAGAGAGTTAGTTTTTGAAAAGAGGATGATGGATCAGGAGTTTGTCTGTATGAGAGCCATACCAAGTTAAACCAGTCTGGTGATTTGGATGTGCTATTCGGATATACACAAATTTATTCAAATTCACAGTTTCTTTTTTTCTTTTTACTGCACATAAATTAGGCCAATGACTAATTTACTTTCTCAGCCTTGTCCTGTGACATTGCTTTGAAATAGACTCCAGGGATGTGATGTCAGACATGGTGCCACAATTAAAGTCCTGTTAAAAAACAGCATTTTGCTTCTTTAATTGAATGTGTTCCCTGCTGAAACTGAATATTGGAATGGGACCTAACACACAAAGGAATCATTCAAAAGTGTAAAACCAACAGGTTATCAGTTGGCATACTTCAGTAAAGCAAGTTTATTGACAACATTTTCATGTATTTATAAAGTGCAAAGTATCAGATCATGTCAAGGAAACTATCCATGGACTTATCGCCGTTGATAAAAGAGGCTTTTAATGGGGTTTGACAAAACAGAGAAATGGCCACAGGTTTCCTCCTGACACATCCAGTTCACAGCCCCTAATTAAACACCTCACGTACAGCCAATTAAACTCAAATGAAAGGGGTTCTATTGTAAAAGACATCCGTACAATCAATGCGGTGTGGGTGTGTTTTGTGTGTTGTGTGTTTTGTGTTTTGTGGAGGAGTAAGAGGTGCACGCTGTAATTAGTTGTCCTCCCTCCACTGTCAAAGCGTATGTATAATAAATAATACCGTAGATTGTTGTTGTGCATGTGTTTTTTCCCACTTTGCTCTACTGAAATCTTACTTAATTCATTTAATTTTACCTACCCCATATGAACTGTGCAGATCAACTCTTTTTGATTCTACTACATCGTGAAACCCTGAAATAATGTTAAATGTATGTGCACCTGTTGCACACACACATAAATGCACATGTGTGCAGACTCAATTTATTTAACACTTTAACAGCTGTTAATAAATATGCAAACATCACTTCATGCACACCAGAAGCATGCGTAAGGAAAATCAAAATTAGGACATATATGTACTGGGCGACTGTGGCATGTCGATGTGTCCTTGAGCGAGACACTTAACCCCAAAATTGCTCCCGCAGCTGTGCCTACGGTGTAGAAATGTGATAGAATTTAAATTGTAAGGCGCTTTTGATAAAAGCGACTGCTAAAAAAATGACTGTAATGTACTAACTATTATTATATATTTAGACAAAAAATAAAAAAATAAAAAGCTGAGAGTTTTCATGATTATGGTTGAGTATGAAAGTCTGCATACAGGACATGGTTACATCTGTATTACCATCTGTATTACGGATACATTACTGAACATTTATCCTGCTGCAATGGATATTGGGACCTGTTCCGAACAGCAGAGAGCATCTTTATTGTTTATTGTTTTTCCTTTTTTTTCATCAAAGAGTTATGCTGGGTCATACACCAGAGAGCCAGCTAACCCGTCCTAAATGATGAGAAATTGTATTTGTGGACAAGCGGGCTCTAATGAATAGGAACAGATGGAAAACACAGAAAAACGAACAACTTTCATATTAAAAGAAAAAAAAAAACAGTTGCCTAGGAACAACCTCTGCTAAACCTGACTCCTCGACCCCCCCCCCACACACACACACACACACACACACCCCACAACATACACGCACGTATGGAGATATGCGCACCATGGGAGATAAGATCGGATGCTTCAAGAAAAGTTAGGGTTATTTCTCACTGTTACTAAGCAACAAGTTGGCTGTCTTCTAAGCCTTCGCCATTTCTCTGTCGGCTCCGCTGGAGATTAATAGTCAGAGGCAGAAATTAAGTTGACCACAAAACTTCAGCAATTTCTCAAAAGTTTTCTTTATAAGCAGAGTTAAAATTGGCATCACCTAGGTTGGCCCACTGGCAGGTAAAAGAAGATTGTTTCATTGCAGGACAACATGCTCTGTGACGTACTCTACGTTCTGCTGATTATGTTCTGTTGATTATGTTAGAGTAGCACTTCATTCGAAGTGCAGATCACTTGTATACAGATACATTTTTATTAAATATTTTAATTAAATGTTCAGGTTTTTACTGTAGTTGTTAAAAGTGACGTAGAATCAATGTTATATTTTAGATGTTATATTTTACCTGCAGTGTTGGTTATACCAGATGTGCTAAATGAGTAGCCTATGCCTGCTATCGTAGCCCGGCACCTTGAGAGGCATATGGATGGTTTACATATTACTCACACAACAAAATCAAATCAGGATCATGCTGAAGAGCACCACTGATCTGAACACCTACACCACACTGTTGCATGTGTTTAGAGTATGAAACAAAAGGAGTGTAATGAAAACAGATGGCAACCTATATTTGCATTGGCAGAGAATCTTTTACATTTAACCCTCACTCTCTGAGGGGCATGGTTGGCAAGGCAACAGATTCTGCAGTCTGTTTCCCATGCCTGCATCTCAATAGTCCAGATCACCCTTCTTATCCCTCTATCTTCCTTGAGTAACATGAGTAAGACCAGGCAGGCGCTCCATGTGTTCTAAGCCTCAGTGTTATGCTGACAGGCAATTGGCAGCTCACGACATCCCTACACCCATACAACGTATCCCTCAAACCCATCCCCAAGATCAAATTAAGACGAATACGTTTTAGCTGCTGCCTGACCTGCTTGTTACCATTTGAGCCTTAAATAAATCAAACTTTATATTTGAGCTTAGTTAGACAACTTTAAACATTATATTTCCAAAGATGTTGTTTCCTAAACACTTGTCTAAAATCATCACCGCACCCTCTTACATAACTAATGTTTAGATGTGTAGTTACCTCGCTTTAGTCATTTCCAATTTTTCAGTTAAACCGAAGGATTAAGTATTCCTTCATGAGTTGAGAAACTTACTTCTTAAGCTACATAATCCATTTAAAAACCCATTGGACTGTCTGAAAAACATTGTTAAGCTACAAACAGGGCTGTTTCTCTCAGCTCATGAAAAGTTGATGTTTTTGCTGATGCCTGGTTTTCACAAGACTGCAAGTATATATGTCTATCACACTGCAATTATAACCCGAATGTATAGAAGTCTTGCAGAAATGAGAAAGTGGTGGATGTAACACATCTACCATCTACACAGTGAACGAACGGGGTGGCAAATGTACAAACTGTAGAACCGCCAGGACTTTTCCTGGAGTAATTATTGGACCAGACGGGTCAGTAGCTCGAGAAAGACCTCATTTATCGAGGACAAAAACCTCAAATACTTTCTCAGGATTTACTTGGTTATGATGGTAGGTCTCTGTGTCAGTGCAGAACTTTATAAATCTGTGCTGCATTCAGACACAGCATGCCTGGAGTTGGCACAAACACAGTAAAAAAGAAGAAAAAAAACTACTCAAGCATCAGACAAAAGATTTTGAGTTCTGAAAAGAGAACTGGAACTTCATCTGGAACTGAAAGTGCTGGATGTCTGCAGGAAAGCTGGCACAGCTCATTAACCATCTAACATGATCGTGAGTAGTAGCTGGTGTTGAGAGCAGCAGGGACAGGGACTCTTGAGTAAGAGGTCAAATATACATTGAAGTACTATGAGAAAAATCATTGGCAGAATCTTGTTCAAGACTTGACTGGGATTGCATTTTGTTGTCCAACAGGATTTGAAAGCGAGCGCAGCCGACTCTATACAGAAATGGTTTCCTTTGTCCATCACAGTGAACATCAAGTCTGCATCAATATGTTTCAAAGTTCTATTTCCACTGTGTTATAATGCAGCTTTTAAAGATATTAAAATCCTGCAGCGTGTTTTGTCACGGCGATA